CTGGACTACTAGAATGCGTTCTAGCTGGTTTTCAATACACAAACTACACAAACGTTACAGACAACAGTGTAAAGCAAATCACTGGCTGAAAAAAAAATCCGTCATAAAAATTAGATGCCAGCTTCATTCTTCGGACAGGCCCTGGCGGCTTTTAAGACCTCAAAGGGCCATTAGCCTTGGTCATTAAAGAATGAGTCATATTACAGGCTGAAGCTCATTATCATTCTAGCCCCCAACACTTTGTGATGATGATACAAACAACTGAAAATTTTTCAAAATGGATAATAAGAGCAGAATTAAATACCCAAGTGATAGCATGGTATTGACAAAATCCTTTTCTAATGAATTTAAAAGCCTACATGCCTTTCAAAACGTGACTTTTTACTTAAAACTCTCACTAAGAAAACAAAATACAAAGCCAGTGCTATTGAATCTATTCCAGTTTTTGTGAGAAAGGCCAAAAATCTTTGCAAGAATCTATATCCTTTTACCCTGAAGCAGTTGGTGGACTCAAACCACCAACCTTTTGAAAACAACCCAACACACAGTGCACTGTATCACCAGAGCTCCTTACAACTCTGAATAAGATACACTCAAATAGGTTGGGATTTGTATACTGCATGCATATACTCATGAAAACATTATCATAAATGTAAAGTTATCTACAAAATTCAGTCTGTCAAAATTCTATCTGAAAATGTACTATTTCTTTACCAATATAAAAAATAGCAACTAACAATATGCTTCTAGTTGATTATTTATTTCCAAATTTGGAACTTCCCTCCCATATCCTCCCTCTAAAAAAATCCCACATGTATGTATATGTGTGTTGTATTATTTCCCATTTTGACCAAACTAATTGACACAGTGTATAAAATATATACATAATAAATATTTTCATTTTGTGGGCCATAATAGTCTTCACAATTACTTGCTATGCATCAGAGAGCTGGATAATGACTACAGATGATAGAAGAATTGATGCCTTTGAATTGTGGTTCTAGAGAAGAGTCTTGAACGTACCATGGACTGCTAAGAAAACAGATAGGTCTGTCTTAAAGAGGGTGAAAACAAGCTTCTTCTTAAGGGCTAGGATTCTAAAGCTCCATCTTACATACTTTGGGCATTTGACAAGGAGGGATTGATCCTTGCAGAAGTGCATCATGCTCTGAAGAGTGAAGAGACAGCACAGGAGAGGAAGACCCAGGTGAGATGGATTGATACAGTAACTAGGGCAATGGGGGTAAGTGTGTCGGAGTCAGTGAGACTGGATCAGGACAGAGCAGGCTTCAGAGCTGCTATACATAGGGTCACTGAGTCACAGGCGACTTAACGGCACATAACAACAATAACTCAAAGACAAAAGCAGCCACAGAAAATAGTAACTTAGTAAGAATGACTGTGTAATAGAACTTTCTGTCTGTAACTTTATTACAGACACGGATATTAAAATTCCATACAATTTTCACATGTCATGAACTTATACGTTTGATCTCTTCTCCTCAATCATTTAAAAATATAGAATTAATTCTCAGCTCTCACACTACAGGTCCACTTTAGTTCTTGGGTCATTGTTAATTCACTTCTGTTTTATTGAGAGTTCACTGAATAATATATAAAATTTCACACCTTCAGGACCTAAAGTCACAGCTTTCACAATGCATCCCAGGGCAATCTGGACAAGTTACTTACACTGACTTAGTTTTGTCATCTGTGAAATGGAATTAATAACATTAAGAGCCTCAGTGAATTATTGGAAGCATGAACTATGCCATCCAAATGCAACTCGTTCCACCCAATATTGTTCAACAAATGTTATTTATTAGTATATAGGGAAACAATGGGGTTCCATAAACAGGCGTGGTCTGGGTTTTCACCTTTGGCCCTCCTGAGAGATTCCCATTCCAAAGAAAGGTGACCCAACTGAGTGTGGAAACTACAGAACAGTGCCATTGATTTCACATGCAAGCAAGATTCTACTGAAGAATATCCAAAAACTATTAGAACAGCACATCAGCAGAGAACTGCCAGAAGTCCAGGCTGGGTTTAGAAGGGGTCGTGGTACTAGGAATATAGTTGCTGATGTTAGATGGATCTTGGCTGAAAGCAGAGAATACCAGAAGAACATCTATCTGTGTTTCATTGATTATGCAAAGGCATTTGACTGTGTGGATCATAACAAACTGTGGCTGACTCTGAGAAGAATGGGAATCCCAGAACATTTAATTGTGCTCATGCGAAACCTATACTTGGACCAAGAGGCAGTAGTCAGAACAGAGCAGGGTAACACTGCATGGTTCAAAATTGGGAAGGGTGTACGCCAGGGATGCATCCTGTCTCCATACCTTTTCAACATGTATGCAGAGCAGATTATCCGAGAGGCTGGGCTCTATGAGGAGAATTGTGGCATCAGGATTGGTGGAAGATTATCAACAATCTGCGTTATGCAGATGACACAACCCTGCTTGCTGAAACTGAGGAGGACCTCATGCACTTGCTGCGAAGGGGCAAGGACTGCAGCCTTCAGTATGGACTGAGGCTCAATGTCAAGAAGACAAAGATTCTCACCACTGGACCAAACGGTAGCATCAGGATGGATGGTGAAGAGATTGAGATTGTTCAAAGCTTCAGTTTGCTCAGCTCCACAGTCAACACTCTTGGCACCAGCAGTCAGGAAATCAAAATGCGTATCGCGATGGGAAAGTCTGCTGTTAGAGACCTCTCTAAAGTACTCAGGAGCAACAGTGTCTCTCTGGAGACTAAGGTACGCCTGATACAGGCCCTGGTATTTGCAATCGCTTGTTATGCATCAGAGAGTTGGACAATGACTAGGGAGGACAGAAGGAGAGTAGATGCTTTTGAGCTGTGGTGCTGGAGAAGGGTACTGAATGTACCATGGACTGCCGGGAAAACAAACAGATTCATCTTGGAGAGGATTAAACCAAGCTACTCTTTGGAGGCAAGGATTCTGGGGCTTCGTCTGACATACTTTGGACATGTTGCCAGGAGGGACGGGTCCTTGGAGAGGGACATCATGCTTGGGAAGGTGGAGGGACAGCGCAGGAGGCGAAGACCCTCTATGACATAGATTGATTCAGTGACTGGGGTAATCGGGATGGGTGTGTCAGAGGCGGTGTGGTTGGCACAGGATAGAACAGGGTTTAGGGCTGTTGTGCATAGGGTCGCTATGAGTTGCAAATGACTGGACGGCACATAACAACAACTGAGAGATTCAAAGAAGACAGGGTCTGAGACTACCTCCTAATCCTCTTGATCAAGTAACACCCATTCTCCCAGAATTCTTTTGGATTCATTAACAAGTAACTGGAGAAATGGTTAGGTGTGTCAGAATCAGTGAGACTGGCTCAGGACAGGACAGGCTTCAGAGCTGCTGTACATAGGGTCACTATGGGTCCATGGACTGCTAGCCGAACAAACAAGATCATCCTGGAGAGAGTGAAGCAAGGCTGCTCCTTGGAGGCAAGGATTCTGACGCTTCGTCTGACCTACTTTAGGCTTGTTGCAAGGAGGGACCAGTCCTTGGAGAGGGATGTCATGTTTCGTAGGGTGTAGGAACAGAGCAGGAGAGGAAGACCCCCGATGAGGAGGATTGATTCAGTGACTGTGGTAATGGGCATAGGTGTGCCAGAGACAATAAGGTTGGCACAGGATAGGGCAGGGTTTAGGGCTGTTGTACACAGGGTCGCTATGAGTCACAGGCAACTCAATGGCACATAACAATAACAACATGAATCACAGGTAACTACTCAACAGCACATAGCAAAAACAACAATTACCATTTTTAAAAATACAGGAAGAATTGAGGTCTTTGAATTACGGAGTTAGAGTAGAAGATTGACTACACTGCCAAAAGAACAAACAAATCTGTGTTGCAGGAAGTCCAACCAGAGTGCTCCTTGGAGGCAAGGTTGGTGAAACTTGGTCTCACTGACTTTGGGCGTATTTTCAGGATCTTGTCCTTGGAGAGAGACATCATTCTGGGACAGGTGGAGGGTCACGGGAAGATCCTCAGGTGACATAGTGAGTGTCACAACGGGCTTGAGCATGACAGAGATGGAGAGAAGGGCAAGGTTTCAGCCTATTGTTCATGGAGTTAAGTCATAGATTCACCTAAGAATGCATTCCTCAAAGTTACCGCCTCATTAGCACAGTTCAAAGGACTTGGAATAACTGGCTTTTAAAATATTGTTAAAAAAATGTTTCAAAAGGCCTTTAAAAGTGTCTTGTCTAGTCTAGTCTAGTGTTCGGGGTGTTAGTAGTGCTGCTCTCACAAAGGAGCATTTACAGCAGTAAAGCCTCCGTAATGCAATGGAGGCTCGGCTGTGTGTCCGCTCTGACAATAAGTGAATGAGTCTCTTCTCAAAGAACAAGGAAGCTGGAATTATTTTTTTATAGTTTACATTAGACTATAACTTAGTTTATTATGAATAAAATCTGTAACATATCATACATTTTTACATCTAATTCAGGGTGAGAAAAATTCAGGTATTACAAAGCTCAGATTTAACAAAAACAAAGTAATTTACAATATAAGGCACTTAAACAGAAATGGTTTATGTAGGTAAAATTAACAACAACAAAGTTCTCTACATTCAGACATATAAACATTTTTTATATATGATTTGGTCAGTAATTGGACAGAATTAAGTGACATTCAGTTTTAGATAAAACAATCAAATTTCACTACAGTGAAAGCAATGTGTTTTTTTGTAAAAAGAACCAGAACCATTTTATCATTTACACCCTAATTCATTAATTATATTCAGGAAAAGGTTATTGATTTTAGTTCTCTGAAATTATCTTCCATTCGTAAGTGATAGGAAATGAAAAAGGTCCACCTGGGGGAAAGTGGTAAATTTCAAAATGGCTAAAATATCAGTCAGACTGGTATCTCTACATTGCAAAATCTGCCTAAATTCTAAGTTTCGTCTGAACGGATACCTACCTAATTTCTAAGTTCCGTCTGAAGGGATACCTACCCAATTTCTGTCTTCGATGGTCAGCAGGTTATTCGCCACACATTCATCCAAGACGTCCCTGACCGCCAGCTGGTCCACCAGAGTGGGCTGAAGGAGGGTAAGCAGCTGCAGACATTCATCGTGGCAGCTCTCAGATGAGGGTGAGGGCAGGTCGGTGAGGTAGCGGGCGGCTAAGGGGTTCCCCGAGCTCTGGAGGGCCACCACAAATTCCACGGTCCAGCCAGGGGGCCACGTGCCTTTCTCCACCGTGCTCAAGAGCACCTCGACGGCTTGCATGTTCCCCTGGGTCTGGGCTGTCCTCTGAATCTGCTCCTTTACGTCTGCAGGCAGAAAGGGCAGGTAGTCCATCAAAGGCTCCACCTGGATGTACCTTTTCAGTCTGGGCCGGAAGCAGGAGATGAGATGGCGGAAACTCTTGTCGGAAGAATAGCCGTCTGACATCTTCCTTGCTCAGGGAAGGCGGTGGGTTATCGTCAGGAGCCGGTGGGGTGCAGAGTGGGTGTGCCGCGGTCCCTTGTTTTGGAGGAGAGGGTCTGCAGGGTGTGCCTGAGCTCTGTAAGGCGGCTGGGAGGGCTCCAGGCCTGTGTGCGGGAGAAGGCAGTTACACCTGGGCAGGTGGGGGACCCGAGGGTCGCGCAGGCAGGCGTCTCAGACCCCGGACTTCAGCTGTGCGCGCAGGGACAGTGACAACGCTGTGCTCCTAGAGAGCTTTTTGCAAGCAGCTTCCGCCAAGCAGTTCTTTGGACTTCAGTTTCTGTTTCGATTCTGTCCCAGGACTTTCCAAATGCTGTCAGCTGAGAGGGGAGTGTCTGTTTCACTGGAGCAGAGTCATCATTTGGCTGTTTCTGGCCAGGAGAGATCTTTAATCAAGGGTTTCATGAAGGGAAATGGAAAAAGAAAGCAAAGTCTCTCTCCCACGGAGTAAGGCCAGGTTCCCTCAATGTTTCCCACCCAAACCCCCTGGAGGCATTTTCACCCCCAGGAACTTTGCCTACAGTACAAGATTCCACCTCAAAAGTCGGACCTTACCAAAATTTTCACAAGCCCTGGTGCAACCTCTCTTTGCAACCCGGATGTGGGAAGCATGTGTTTCCAGGTTTAACACACAAGAGGCAAAGAAAAATTAACTACCACACACCAAAATGCGAGTAAGGAAGGAGTTACCTTTTGCTGAGAATACAAATTCACGGCCTGGCTGGAATGAGTGAGTTTACAAAGGAGAGAAAACTAAGGATGATATCCCGGGGCATAAAGATCTGGTTCTTCCTGGAAATAACCTAGCTTTCTGGAGGTTTTTAGGAACTTATTTGCTCCCTGGGGAACTTGAGGGTGTGTATTTGAAAAGGAGTGAGTAGCGATAAACGGTTTACTTTATTGGTCCACGTTTAGATTGTTCTTATTTATGGTTTCCATCAGTGTCTGATGACAGACATCAAGGGATTTTAACCATCAGCTTAGTGAGCTTAGGAGGAAGCCAAGAGAAAGTTTCTGTCTGCAAGCACGAAAGCTCTCGTATTCTTTAATATACAACTTTCCTTTAATAAAACAAAACAAAACAAAAAAATCCCCAACAACTTCTTTTTTTACATAGCTGCCATTCTTTTCTTGGATTCAATACAGCAAGTTTTGGCTGAAGCAACTAGGAACTTAATTAGCAACTAATGTACCAACTTGTAGTAAACATCAACATTTGTCTATGTCATGAGGCAAAAAAAAAGACACCCACACTGAAAAATGGCAGCTTCGTTTCAGCACAGAAGCCACATGAAAGCAAGTCTTAAAGATTGCTATCCAAAATGATTCTGAAATTCTGAGGGTGTTTGTGAGTGGTAGTACATATACATATATCATAATTAGTACCTCCTGCTTCAGAATTGTTTGGCAAGGTCATTAAGACTGTCAACTAGACATACTTGGAAAAAGTAATTTGTTCACAAAGCATATTCAACGAAGCCTGGATAGTTCAGGGCAGCCTGGTGGTGCTATAGAGGCTAACTAAGTGCAGCCTCTGTGTCCAACTGAGCACTTTATGGCAAGCTGTCTCATTCTCTAATTATATTATGTGTTGTTGATAGGTGCTGTCGAGTCAGCTCCCAATTCTACAGAATTTCTAAGCAGAGAGCACTGCCTGTGCCTGCCCCATCCTCCCAATTGTTTTGTTGGAGCCCATTATTGTAGGGAATGTGTCAATCCATTTCATTACAAGTCTCTCTCTCCACCACTTTTTTTTTTTTTTTAAATAACCCTCTCTCTCCTTTAAGGAGCATGATGTCTTTTTCTGGCAATTGGTCCCTTCTGATGATATGTCCAAAATAAGCAAGAAGTCTTGCCATTTTTGCTTCTGAAGAGCATTTTGGCTCTTCCTTTTAGACAGATTGGTTTGTTCTTCTGGCAGTCCATGGTATATTCAGTATTCTTCACCAACACCATAATTCAAATGTGTCAGTTCTTTATCCGTTTTCTTTTCCCATTTTATGCAGTTTAGCCTTGTTCTCTCCCAAAGAACTATAAACTACTTTGTCAAAGGTTATATTTACAGAGAAGCCGGTATCCACCCAACATTAATAACTCATTGTCACTGAATCAGTTCTGATTCATGGCAACCCTCTGCCTGGTTTCCAAGACTGTAAACTTTAATGGGATATTACTGCCTCATGTTTCTGTCCTGAAGGGGCTGGTGGATTTCAACTATTGATTTTGTCCCTTTAGTAGCCAAATATAACTCCCTACACCACCAGTGCTCCTAGTAAATAGTACAATATTCTGCAAAAAGTAGTCCTTGCTGGTTGACCTAGGGTGTAGATGACTCATGTTGAATCTAGCAGCTGGTCTACAGAGTGAAACTCTTTGAAGTGAAAGGACCTTGCAGGTGGGTGGATTTATACTATTCTGTTTCTTCATTGTACAGGACTAGTCTTTGTTTAATTTTGTTAGTTGGTCTTGTCTCTTGATAGATAATAAAGAGCAAAATTAAGTTAGCTACTTCTACAGACGTTTTCAAATTATTAGCTTACGTAGTTGGGTTTAAAAGGACAGCTTGAGGAGCATGGGAATCCCAGAACCCTTGATTGTGCTTTTGCAAAACCTATACTTGGAACAGGAAGCAGTTGTCAGAACACAGCAGAGAAACACTGCATGTTTCAAATTCAGGAAATGAGTGTGTCAGGGATGTATCCTGTCTCCATACCTTTTCAATTTTTATGCAGAACAGATCATTTGGGAAGCAGGGCTTTGTGAGGAGCAATGTGGCATCAGAATTGGATAAAGATTCATCAACAACCTACGTTATATAGATGACACAACCATGCTTGCTGAAACTGAGGAGGACCTGAAGTGCTTGCTGCAGAGGGTCAAGGACTGCAGTCTTCAATATGGATTGAAGCTCAACATCAAGAAAACAAAGGTTGTCACCACTGGGCCAATTGGCTGCACCATGATAGATGGAGAAGATATTGAGGTTGTTAACAATTATAGCTTGCTCAGCTCAACAATCAATACTCTTAGTACCAGCAGTCAGAAAATCTAAAGATGAATTGCATTGGAAAAATCTGCTGTCAGGGATTTCTCCAGAGTGCTGAAAAGCAACGATGCCAGACTAGAGATCAAGGTGCACCTAATCTATGCCATGGTCTTTACAATTACTTGTTTTGCTTTAGAGAGCTAGACAATAACTAAGGGTGAGAGAAGAAGAATCGAAGCCTTCAAATTGTGGTGCTGGAGAAGAGTCTTGAACATACTATGGACTGCCAAGAAAACAATAGGTCTGTTTTGCAGAGGGTAAAATCGAATCTCTCCTTGGAGGCTAAGATTTTGAAGCTTGGTCTCACATACTTTGGGTACATGTCCAGGAGGGATTGGTTCTTAGAGAAGGGCATCATGCTTGGAAGGGTGGAGGAACAGCACAGGAGAGGAAGACTCTGGATGAGATGGATTGATACAGTAACAGGGGCAGTGGGGGTTGGTGTGTTGGAATTAATGAGACTGGCTCAGGACAGGAAAGGTTTCAGAGCTGCTGTACATAGGATCGCTATGGGTCAAAAGCGACTCGACAGAACATAACAGCAACAACTTTTCTTATCCCTCAGCTGCTGGCAGATTGCATTTAATTTGTTAAAACAAATTAAAAGAATTTGTTTCAGTGTACCCATCCTCTATCCTGTGCAAAGTTAATTTTCTATTTTTGGTTCATTTAAGTGTTTTCCCTTATTGTTTTTATTTTCATCTTCCTTATTGTTTCTGAATATAGGTTTCTGTTTCCTTTCTCTTTTGAGTTAGGTGAGCTATTGCTTTTCCTTCCCCCACCCCTTTCCTTTAAATTGTGAAGATCATTACATGTTGTACTACTTATCCATCGTGGAAGGAGGAGTGGCATCCACTTCCATAATAGCTTGCCTCCGGAAACCCTATGAACTTGGAGAGAGGATGAAAGGCACCCAAGTGTCAAGGACTCTTCTTCATAGGGTCGCTATGAGTTGCTTGTGACTCTACGGCACTTAACAACAATAACATCAACAGAGAGAGAAAGAGAGGGAGAGAGATCAGCTGGCCCAGTGAAGAGAAAACGATGTGACCAAAGCAAAGGTGGGTGACTTTTAGTTCGCGGCCCTCAGGCCAGTCTTCTATTGTTTTTGTGCAGACATTCCTCTAGGTCGTATAGCCCTGGTGTACAAGTTGCCATCCCACGGTCACTTGTGGTTGCTGTGAAGCTGCACACTGTGACACGGATGTGTCAAATGCGTTAATGGTTGGCTACCCAATGCGGACTGAGAGTGGGGTGGAGCTCCCCAATTAAACAAGCGTGGAAGGAGGAGTGGCGTCCACTTCCATAATAGCTTGCCTCTGGAAACCCTATGAACTTGGAGAGAGGATGAAAGGCACCCAAGTGTCAAGGACTCTCCTTCATAGGGTCGCTATGAGTCGCCTGCAACTTGACGGCACTTAACAACGACAACTACTTATCCAAAGGTCAGCAGTTCAAATCCACTCACTGATTCAAGGAAGTTGTTGTTGTTGTTAGGTGTCGTTGAGTCATAGACGACTCATAGCAACTCTATGAATGAAAGGCCTGAGCACTGTTCATACATAGGATTTCCAGAGGCAAGCCATTTCGGAAGTGGATGCCACTTCTGCTTCCAGGCTTGTTTATTATTTACTATGAAGCCCGCTAAATATCTTTTGTCAATAAATCATTAAACTTGAATAAGTATGCCAAATAAACCAACCAATGTATTTTTACACAAATAACATATACACTACAATTTTTTGCAGATCATACAAACCTCTTACATGATTCAAGGAAGAGAAGATGAATATTCTCCTTGTGGAAATATTTCTAACTACAGAAATTCAATGGAGTGTTACTGTGAGTGGGGACAGACTCTACAGCAACAAGGGTTTGTGTTTTTGTTGTTTGTGATTTAGTGGTTTAGTAGTAAGAAATT